TTTGCGTAAAATGCTGAAAGATGTTTAGTGTGTGTATAAGGGAAAGAGCACCTGAGAAATGCCAGATGACCGCTGAAGTTTCAGAGATCGCCGAAACCTTGAACAAGTTAAACCTGGTGAGTATACGCACATGCTTTATTATATAATATGAAATACCAGTGGCAAGACACTTTCCCAGTTATATCGCTTATCAGAGACCTTATAGTCTTTCTGTCATGTCAGCCCATCTCTAAACGTTTCTTCAGGCCACCAATAAGCATTCATCCTTTCACTTCACAAAGTCATACAAACTCACAATCCAAAATCATTATGACGTCGTTTACGTCTTGATCTATTCCCCACACTTAAGGTATATTTAAGGTCTTTTTATTAATTTTTATTTTATTTGCCGGGGGTGGGTGGGAGAAGGCGGGGCAGGAGAGAGGAGGATGTAGATTGGATGGGTGGCCAACCCTCTCCATTGTGTATCTGCAGAAGTAAGAAAATTAATTTGTACATCAAAACCTAAATACGTATATTACACCATTTGAAATCTAAAAAAGCATGTGTCGAGGACTGTTAAATTACTTGTCCTATGATATGTGTCCATGGCAGCCGAAATTAGACAGCTCTTAATTAGAATTTCGTTAATTTAAAGTTTAACTGGAAAAACGGTAATCCAGAGTCGGAAGCAGGGTTCGTGAATGATATAAAGGAAGTCATAGGTGTTTTAACACTAACTTTACTAGAAATGTCGAACTGGCCCACGAATCGTGGGCGAATCTTTCGTTCATTGTATATAGAAAATATTTTAACTTTTTCCACTGCAGGTCGATCATGAAGCTGACACTGATATTTCCCTTCCTGTACCGATCACTGATACTGAATGCAAAAGAAGGTAGATCTAAACGAGAGAGCCTTTACGTGCCAGACGAAGATTCGCAAAGAAAGCGAAGATGACATAAACTATGTGGAAGGTGAATCCCTGAAACAGCTCAATCACTTTTCACAGCTTCGTGACACCAGCCCAGTCCGGCCACGTACTATCAGTACCATGGAATGTAGCTCAAAGCCGTACTAAACGCTGTTATTTGAGAAAAAGCTGAACAGTGTGCTTCAGCAGTAATGGAAGTCCTTTGCTCCTGAAGATTCCAATTGCTTGTGGGGAATTATGTGAGCGCAGAAGTGAATCGAAGAACAACTGGCGGGAAAGTTGTAAGGAAGTGGAGCTTCTTCAAGCGTTTGCCGAGAGTTATTTGAACGCTCAACACTGGAGTACCGTCGGCAAATACTCTCAATCCTGGCTGACAAGTTGTCTTTCAAAGAGGTGCAATTTATCCCAACCCTGACAAGTTACCGCTTTGACCACACCCTGCTTCATGGAAGAGCAGAACCGATTCCTCGCCAAAGAAAACAGGAGAATGAAAGTTGACCAAGGAAAAATTGAAGATTTCATTTCATTTATCCTGGGATTCACATGTGATTCAAGATGTTCCATTTGGCGAAAGGTTTTAGAAGTTATCAACCGGTGAGGTTATTAAAACACCAAATGTAATCAGAATGATGATTCCGGAGCGTATTGTTCAACAGTACCAACAATGTTGCAGTGAAAGAGGTTTTGAGCCCATGAGCAGGCAAACACTGCATAGAGTGCTAGATGAGTGTTCTGCGTCTGTTAGGAAGTCTTTTCAAGGACTTGATAACTTTTCATCTCAGGGAGCAGAGGCATTTGATGACCTGGACAAAGTGGTCGATAAACTGGTTGGTTGTGGAAAAACAGAAGTGTGGGCCAGGGAAATGAAGCAACAGTTACGCTCATCAAAGCAATACCTGAAAAGTGACTACAAGGTATTTGATTTATTTTATTACACGGTTTGTTATGAAGTACTTCAAAAGAAAGGCGCAAAACTGACAGAAAGTTGATGCAACAACACAGGCAAATTATTTTCCTAAAGTTCAAATCTTTGAAAATGCATAATATTGATACTTGAACTAGTTCCAGGTTCTCTCGTGCGTAACTAAGGAAGGAATTATTGTCGATAACCTGTAAGTTATATTTATACATTTTGCAAACAAAGGGGACCGTCGGCCTTTTCAATGTAATTGTTTTATAGAAATAGTAGTTAAGATCAGGACGATATAAATACTGTATTTCCTCCGCTAAGTGCCCGGGCGCTGGATCGAGTCAGGAAGGGGCTCCTAATATATAGAGGTTGGGCGCTTGTTCCAAGGGCGATTTATTTAAGAGGAGCTCGCTTATTGGAGGAAATGCGGTGATTGAAATTGTTTACGTTTTTGTTGTCTTCGGCTTGTTTCAGGTCCATGTGGTTGAGTCTTCGAGCATTGCTGATCATTGTGGGTCTTACGCCTTAAGTGACTCAACAGACTCTGACTTCCGAGGCCACTGCAGTCATTCACACAACGAAACATGTGCACAGTGTTGCCAGCTGCAAGAAGTTCTAAGCATCTTGGAGGGTGAGTGTTCAAAGTGCAATTTGTAACGAGGGCAGAAATCGGACATGCTACACGCTGTTAAGCAGGCCAGAAATAATATCATGAGCTGAAAGCCCACCAGTTGCGCTCCGTTCACCAAGATCAGGCCAAATGTTCTGTTCTAGCTAAAATGAAGAGCAAATGCGACGTGTTACTAGTGCAGGATTGGGCAATGAAATTTATGCCACGAAAATTTCGAGAGCCGCAATCATACTGGTTTGCTAAGCGCGGTTTACCATGGCACATAACAGTTGCTATTAGGAAGTCGGAAGAAGGCGAGCAGTTTGAGTCTCAAACATTCGTACATGTCTTTCAGAACTGTTTACAAGACAGTGCTGTAGTGGTATCGATAATGCAGGATTGTCTTGTTTCGCTGAAGAAGGAAATGCCGGAATTAGAAAGGGCGTTTTATAAACAAGATAATGCCAGCTGTTACCACAGCGGATACACTATCGTTTCAGCAAAATTTGCAAGCGACATTGCTGGCGTGGGCGTGGAACGGAACGACTTTTCCGATCCTCAAGGTGGAAAAGGAATATGCGACCGCCAAGCAGCGACTATTAAAGGAGACATTGGAAGATATGTAAACGAGGGCAATGATGTGACAACAGCGATTCAGCTCAAAACAGCCATAGAGTCTGGTCCAGGATCTTGCGCTAAGGCTAGTTACGTTACATTCAACCCGTCAAGCACTCGGCACGTCAAATGGGATGGTGTAAGCTTACTCAACAACTTCAAGTATGAGGAGAACGGAATACGAGCGTGTGGGCATTTAATGTGGGTCCTGGAAAGTTGCTATCGTGGTCTCAGTTGGAAGGAGTTTTGCAGGTCCAAAACTCTTGAAGTGGTTGATCCCCCATCGCAGAAATTGAGTACTAAGCCATCTTTCAAGAAGGTGAGACACAGACATGTAAATAAAAAATCTGCAAGTGATCCAAACGCAGCCAGTGATGCCAATAGCCGAGAACAAGAAGATGATGATGGTGAAAACGAGCAAGCCTCGCCACTTTTCCCATGCCCCGAGGAAGGGTGCATTAAAGCATACAGCCGCTTTGTATCATTAAAGCACATCTAGACACGGGAAACACAAGCGACTACCTGAACAGGAAACGCTGTATGACAAAGCAAAACGAGGATATGCTTCAAAGCTAATGGATGAAGGTAGCAGGATTTCCACTGTGCAGTTACAATGTGAAGAACAAAACAGCCAATGCTTTTCGCCCCTTACAATGGGATGGGCACTGAAGACAATCACAAAGAAGACACGTTTTACGCAAAAAACAGAACGAATTTTTGAAACAACAATTTGAAATTGGCGAGCAGAGTGGAAGGAAAGCAGATCCGAATGAAGTCTCAAAATGATGAGATCTTCAAGGACGAGTTAGGAGCTCGTCGATTTCTACCAGAAGAAGTTCTAACAAGACAGCAAATCACTGGATTCTTCTCACGACTGGCAGCAAAGAAGAGGCTTCCTCCCAGTACAGTGAACCGGGAAGAGTCGGACGAAGAGACCACTAGAGAAGATGACAGAGCATCACAAGAACAGGTAATCCAATCTGAAATCTGTGCGCAAGTGATGAGAGAGATTTCCCTTCAGCACCCCATTGTATCGTCGTCAGGTTACAACATCTGTGAACTCATGCGCATGGGCAAGAAAAAGCTGATGTCACTGAGTGTGGACATGCTGCGCAGTATTTTGCGATGAACTTGGTGTGGACGTCTCTGATATAACACAAAGACGAAAGGTCAAATATCTTCATGGATTGGAAAAAATATATTCCTATTCCAGTGCGGCTACTTTTCACAGCTCTTGCTGAGTGACCCGAAACAACTTCCTGTATGGTGCATAAATTAATACTTTTGAACATGATGTATTACTCAGTAAGTGACACAGGCATAATCGGAAAAAAAATCCGAGTGCTTCATGGGACAAACATCCTGCATACTGCTAGGATTGGAATGATTGGAATGTCATGTGTGGCATACGCGCAATGGAATAAATGTGATGGAATATTTTTAAGCCTGGTGAATAAATGAGAATGATGTATTATTCAGTAAGTGACACAGGCGTACTCGGAAAAAAAGAAATCCGAGTGCTCTCGGCCATCAGGAGTCGAAACTATCGACATCGTGTCAGGTTATGCCTAAGGACACGATGAGAAGGTACGGTAGTCATCTCCAATAAACTCGTTGGCTTTTAAAAACACGCAATCTTGCTAAAATCAATTCTGGTTCAAGTCCGGAGAGTTTTTAGGGACTTCGTGCGATGTTTTATATCCTTGTTGCACAGCGTGAGCAGTGTGACGAAAGCTGAGTAAGGATAGAAATTAGCCATTGGAAGTTACTTAGCAAGTGCGTTCGTCTGCGCCGCAAATCCCATCGACAATATTCAAGAACGAGCAAGAAGTCGTTGTTATGTATGTCTATTAACTTCGCCAACAACATACTCTGGTTATATGGTTAAGTAGATTTGTTTATTTAGAGAACGATGCAATATTTGCTTTTCGTGGAAACAGTTACTTCCGATTGGTTTTCGACGGCACAAAACTTCTCATACTAAATAAAATCAATTCTAATTGAGCTAGAATTACTATAAAAGGTTTTTTTTTTTTCAGCAAGTTAACTGGGAAACCTGGCACATCTTTTTGAGTAAGATACTTTAAAAATACGACTTATCTAAAATCAACGGATGTAAATATCTGTTTGTTACTGTACTAATTGTAGCTAAGTCGCTCGTGCCTGACGCAGATTAGGGAGCGAGCCTGTGAGATTTAATTTCAGCTCGTGGTAATTTTGGTGTTTCATAGTTTGTTTTACCTGTGTAGACAATATTTAACATTTATATATATATTTTAAAACGCTTCAAACCGCTAAAAAGCAAAACCCTTATGTTTTATGTACAAACTTTGGCCGAGGAGTTAATTTATTCAATAGTGCTTTGCCATATAGAGTTGTAGATTTCAAAGGCGCTCAATTGGAATTTTATCGAATTTTGATCAGCGTTCATGCAAAAGTGCTACTAGATCCTAAAGATTTAAAACCGTAGACCTAAAGATCAATGACTGAACTGTCTTTTGGTTATAATATCAGAGTATTTGAAGAACTACCGGTCAGCTTTTTTTTTTCGCTGAGTTTGGATTATTTTACACCTTCGCGTAAATGAGAAAAGTGTGTCTTCTTAATCGGGTCTCAGTTCGCTCACAAATAAGCAGAGATAAAAAATAATTCCCATGGTTCGACTAAGGAAGAATCAATGTATTCAATTATACTTAAGAAAGATTCACAGCTATGTAAACGTCTGTGTAGCGAGAAGCTGAAAAGTGTAAAATTTCGAGTTTCCGCCAGGTGAAATCCGAGCTTCCGGTAGGGTGACCGTTTTTCATGGTTTTCTGCCGTTATATGGAATATTTCAAAAAAACTAACCTCATATCCTTCAGTTACTTACCTAGGCCTTCAAACTGACAAAGTATGAGCGAAATCGATTTTTTGACCGTGGCCACGTTTTTGAATTTTCCTTGATTTTTTTACTGACATTTACTCTTAAGGTCATTGGCTGATTGATTCAATTAGATAATCAGCGCTGGTGCGCTGGAAATGCCTCTTTGGAAGATAAACGACGACCGTGACCAAATTTAAAACTTGGGCCTTTCCACACAAAAATACAGGAAACCCAAGTTATAAGGAGCTGTGGGAAGATTAGTGAAAATATGTGACTATTAACTCTTTAACTCCCATGAGTGACCAAGACAGAATTTCTCCTTAACAATATCAATGAAATATAATAAGTGGACAAGTGATGAGAATAAAGAAAAATATCAATCGAGGGATGGTTAGCTAATCAATACCAAATTCTCCACCCTTACAACTAGAGAACTGTATTGCAGACAGTAAGGAGAATTACTAAAGAGATCTCAGGGAGTAAAAAGGTTAATATTGTTATTGCTCAGATAGTTCTAGGGTCGTGGTCGTGGGATAAAACGGGGGGGTCGGGGAAGGGCGATTTGCAGATGTCAATAGAGTCTACTTATATGAGGGAAAATCGCTTTTTTTTTCAACGCTGTAGTTAACAATAAATAAGCAGACTGTCCAACGCATCAGCAAGCAGGTAGAGCGCATTTTTCATAGTGTGTTGCTTTACAATTTCTCTAATGTGTTGTGTTGGGTCAAGATAGTGACCGCAAATCACTTTTTGAAGGAGTTTCCTCTTGTAGAGGTTCTTCATTGCTTGTGAGACGCTTTAATCCATTGACTGAATCGGCGAAGTTGTGTTTGGAAGAGAAACATACAGGTAACAGACCATCACGAGTTTTCAGCTCTTCAGGATGAGCAGAACAGTTGTCCATCAGCAACAACGCTTTAGGCGAACGAATGTTTGGTGCACGTTGGTGGCGTTTAACAACTGGGACGAGATCTTTCTTGAACCACTCAGCAAAAATCTCTGAGTTCATCCAAACGTTTCTTTGAGACTTGTAAATGACAGGGAGCGCAACCATGTTTACGTTTAAAACATCGTGGCGTCGCAAATTTTACAATCACAACTGGTTTCGGTTTATGGGTTCCTGTGGCATTACTACAACCAAGGACAGTTTGGCGATCTTTTGATTTCTTGAAACCGAGGGCAGATTTTTCGCGGCATGACACCAGGGTTCTGTCGGACAAACATCTCTACAGGAGTCCCGTTTCTAACTATTAGGAGGCCTCTATGAGAAAACTAGAACTGAATCACAACTTTTTCCACTGACATTAGATAAAAGCAACAAGGTATAACAAAATATAATTTTTTAAATTTTTTTTCAAATTTAAAATTTTTTTTATTTTGTTTTGTTTTTTTTCTTTTTTTTTTGGATATTTTTGAAACACAATATCTGAAAACATTGGAAAAAATATTAGCAAAATGTTCTAAGTATGGGAAATATGGTACACCCAAAATTTAGTGATGGTACTTCTTAGAATGAAACACTGCAAAACAATCCCAACCCTTACTAACATGCATATACTTCTGACATTGAGGGGCATCACAATAAGATCGAACCCTAAAATCTCCCCTACCCTCTTTATAACATACCACACATCGTCTCTGAGTACTAGAGAAAACTGGGATATGGACAGATATAAACTCCTCTGGGGCGGGAGGGGGTGATTCCACTGTGGTATTTGCAGGTGGACTACCATAATCAGGGAAACCACAGATTTTTCTAATAATTTCCTCCCGGAAATCAGCCAAAGAATAATGGGAGGGCCTTTTAAGAGCATCATCGTCAGGAAATTGAGCCTGATGCTCTTTAAAAAGAATAAAACCATTAACTACAGCCATGTCAATTAGGTGGTAAAACAAAGTTTTCCACCACTTCATGGACTTACGTAGTGCACTATTTGTAGTTAGAATTTGATCAGATCGGTCAACCCCACTCATAAACTTATTGTAATTAGCTATAACTTTAGGTTGTGATACTTCCCTTGTGTTCCACACACCATCTGTCTTTGTTTTCCTGTTGACCAGACCGTGATCATTAGCTCTATCTATAGTTGTTAACATTGAAACTACTTTGTTATCCACCCACTGAAGTGCCAAACAAGGAGGATCTCTTTCCCAACGCATGCTACCCCTTTCTTTCCCCTTAGCCCATTCCTTACTGTTTTTGAGTGCAGCTGGAAAGTCTCTCCTGGTTTCCCGCATGGTACCAGTGGCAAGGACTCCCTGAGCAAACAAATCTTTGAACAATTTGACTGATGTATAAAAGTTATCAACAAATAAATAGTAACCCTGATTTAGAAAAGGCCTTATAAGTTTCATCACTACATCATAACCTAACCCAAATTTACTAGTTTCCTGCCCCGTGACTTTACCAATGTAGACATTGAAGTCTACAGTGTAGCCATTTGAACTGTCAGCCAATACCCACAATTTGATACCCCATCTGGTGGGCTTGTCTTTGATATACTGGCGTATACCAGACCTGTGGCGAGACTTAACCATGCACTTCGTCAATAGCTAAATTTTGTCTGGGCTGGTACAAAGCAAGACACCTAGATTTAAAATAATCAATAAAGGACTCAACTTCACGCAGCTTATGGGATTTATCTTCTTTAGCGGGATCTACCACATGTAACATGGCCATTAGGGCTTTGAATCTGGTTCTAGACATGATTGCTCTTGCCCAGAGACCATGAAATAGGGTCTTTATGCTCCAATACTTGTCAACATCACCAATCTTAACAAGCCCCATATAAATGATAAGAGCAATCAGCCGCTTTATTTCATCAGCTGTGGTCTCTTTCCAACTACCATCAGGGCTTGTATAACTCTGATGGGACCCAGAAAATATATGCTCCCAAGCATAACTATTTGTATGTGCAACTATATTGTTTATCATTTCAATTGTAAAAAATAGGTTAAAAAACTCTACCGCCTTTTTCATGGTGCTCCTGAGTTGAGGCCGCTCAAAATGGATTCCAGCTGGCCTTGAAGGAGTAAAAGGAGGAATAGGATTGCTTACATCAGGATCATTATAAGATTTGAAAGGGGCACGAGCAGGAGCACGAGTGCGACCACGCACACTCCTACGGCCAGCCGAACCACTTGAACGACCTCGAGTGGCAGGAACACCATGATCTCGAGAAGCAGGAACACCAACAGCATCAGCACCATGGAATCTTCCAGGACCTACACAAACATAACAAATATTTTAATTTTGTTGATAAAGTCCATAGATCCTATAGATAAGGTTTGATAAACCAAGTAATATTTTCTTCCTCTCAAGACATTTACTCACCAAGAGGAACGGCAGAATTGAGAGGGGGAATTGGACAGGCAGCAGTAGAAGTAGCAGAGGGGCCAGCAACTACACATTAAAACAAAAAATAATTGTGGGAAATTGTAGCAAATGCTGTTGGAAAGTGCTCAATACACATGAGTGTAGAGCGAAATACAGTTCAAAATGACTAAAATGAAGCACGCATGATTACCTGTAACTCTGAGTTTCGTGCTTACGCACTCGTCAGACAGGTTTAATCTGTCTGACAAGTGCGTAGGCACGAAACTCAGAGTTACAGGAATCATGCGTGTTCATTTTAGTCATTTTGAACTGTAAAACAAAAATATAATTTTCAGTGAATAAATCAGTTATCCTCAACATCGATATACTGATATCCTAATAAAATTTACGTTACTCTATGGTATGTGCATTCGAAAATTATACTTGTTATTCTAAATTTTGCCGGGTGGAAATATTTCACTTACCAGGAGCCATGGGTTCCTTAGTGGATGTGCTAGCCTCCTCCGGCCGCTCGTCATCTTCAACTTCTCCCTCGCTAAAACTGTCATAAGTAAAATGTTTATATTGCGTTAGTCAGTCAAAATTAACCGAATGAAAAATCTGTATTAAACTAAATCGCCAAATCGTTACCGAATCGCACGCAACGGACGCAACCGAAAATGCATTTCTCCATGGTAACAGCTGATCGAACCACGCTTCCAAATAGCTTGAATCGCATCGCATCTCATCGCTAAAAACATGCTCGTAACGTAAATTGCTGATTTTCAGAGTCCCTTAAGTCAAATTTTAATCAAATTTGAAGAAATGCACAAGAATCAAACACAAAAGGGCGACCTGAGGCGAACGACTTCGCATCTCAAGACTACATGTTCGATGGCGACCACTTCGCCATTGCCTTTATTGACTTCTCACCTCGATTCCCCACTCTCATTTTCTAGCTGCCGGTCCAGATCACTTTCTTCTCCACTGTCCATCCCATCAGCGGAGTTTTCATCATTAAAGATCTTCTCTAACATTATTTCAGCGGAGACAAGGTTCACACGCGCACGCTTAGACGATGAAGCCATGTTCAACGGTGAAACTTAAATTGTCAAATTAGTGTTGTGTAGTATATTTTCAAATGTCGCTCACCAAACTCGCTACATGATTCGTTTAACATGTCAACGTCATACAGACCAAATATGGAAAGAGTCGGAAGTAACGCAATACTCTTCCGGAAATGATGGGTTAAATTCCACCCCTAAGCGCTGGGGCTGCTGGGATATCTTTTACTTAAAAGATATATCAGACATACGAAGTATCATTTCTATCAGGTCAATGTTTTATCGTGCTAAGGCGCTCTGAGAGGTCCTAGAGCAAAACAAGGAAAATTTCAATCCAGGCTCTTTCATCATTAAAATAACGCGGTGCACTTTGCTTTCTTTTCTTTGTGGAATGTTAGGTTTTTAGATGGATGACGGATCCCCTCTCGGAGTCAGCTTAAATGGCCATCAAGAGGCCAAGGAGTTGATATTTGGCGATGATAGTTGCAAGTATCAGCTACAAGAGTTTTTGAAATCAGATCGGAAAGAAA